TTATTACAACAACTGTGGGAAGCTAATACCATCCCTTAAGGGATGCCCCCAAGCCTATGGCATCTCCTGCTGGGACCAGTAGCCTGACTGTCTGGCTCAGCCCTCATTGGTGTGGGACCTGTCTGTCCTTCAGATGCCTTGCACTTAAACAGGGCTAGTGGGACAAAGGCCACTTCAGGGCTCTCTGAAGACCCCCAGGTGCTCTGTGGTGGTCATGGTCTTGATTCTCAAAGGGACCCACAGGCCCATGCCCAAGGCCTGTCCACTGAGGTCTGTGCCCCTCAGCCTGGCTGCAGTGCAGTAGGAGTGCCCACCTCAGGGTGGGGGTGCCCCTGGACACTAGGCCCTACTGACTTGCTTTCCATAGAGCACACAATCTGTCCTGGGAATCTAATCCCAAGGTCAAAGTGCTCACACAGAGCAGGATGGCAACTTCAGACTGCCCACATCCCCATGAAGTCAGTGTCATGAGGATGCCCTGTGAGGTCACCCCCATGGGGTCACTCAGTGAGGACACCCCTATGGGGGCAGAGTCTTCATGCTGTAGGGGACCTTTGTCCCCTTGTCCCAGCTTGCCAGAGAGGGTGGTGCTGTGAAAACTGGCTCCCTGCACTTCTGCCCTATAGAAGAGGAGGCCAGACCCTGTGAAGAGGCTGGGGAGATGCACTCAGGAGTGGGCTGGGCACTAAGATAGGCAGATGTCACACAGACACACAGAGGATGACTCTGCAGGCAGCAGGAAGCTGCAGAGATGAGGAAACAGACCCTCCTCACAAAGTGCCCAACCCAACTACAGTGGGGAAGGACCTGCATGCAGCGGACATGCCAAGAGGCTGTGGAGGCTGTGGAAACCCCACTGGGGTCCAGCAAGTGAGGAGTGAATGCCCCACATCAGGAAGTGGCCAGCCCCGTGTGTCCATCCCCCCCACCTATGCATCCTTCAGTTTGTCTTGCTTGTGCCTGTTCTCACAATTCACAAAATGAAACTTAAGAACTTCAAAGATGAGAAGACAGAGGTTCAGAGAGGAACCCAGTTAAGTACAGAACTCCCCTGGAAGAAAGGTCTGCTGTGGAGAAGGAACAGTGCACCCCACCTGCCAGCTGTCTGTATCCTTAGATGGCCACCAAGAGTGTCTGCCATGCCTCCCACAGACCAGCACTCATAGTGCCCAGGTACTAGGCACCACTGTGACCCCATTCTGCAGATAGAACACTGAGGCTAAAGGGGTAGGCTGCAGGGCATCTGCAGTCCTCCCCAGGAAGGACTCCTTCTCAGCCCTCCCAGACCTGCCTGTCCCAGCCTGTTGCTGTGGCTGAGGCCTGCGCTGCGGACATCTCCCACTGGGCGGCCACAGACAGACAGCTGGGGAGGAGTGCTGGCCAGCTGGACACCTGGTCCAGCACAGCAGGCTGCCAAGTTTTCACCCCACACAATTTTTCACCCCATATTTTTCCAATAAAAAAGCAGTTAGACAGCAACCGCAGGCTGGCGGAGGGGCCATCTGGCCTTGCTTACTGCCTCCCTCCAGCTGCCAATGGTGGAAGGTAGAATTGCAGCAGCCTCAGGGCAGGAAGTGCTGGGAGCACAGTTCCAAACGACATTGGTTGGGAGGCTCCTGTCTGTCTGTCCATCCACTTGGAGGGGGGATGTCCCCAAAGTGTCTGCACTTTGACTTGAAGCAGAGCCCAAGGTGGGTCCCTGAGGTGTGGTGGGCTGGCAGGACCTGGTGCCAGACCCTGGCAGGTTTGGGGAGATGTCTCTAACCAAACTTCCCAGGTGCTGCCTGATTGTCAGCTCCTGCCAGTTTCCAGTACATGTCTGTGAGGTCAGTGCCAACAGGTCCCAGCATGCTAGGCTTTCTGCAACTTCTCTGCCTTCTGCCCAGCCTGCATCTATCTGGCCACTGAAACTGATCCACCCAGGATGCCCCCTGTTGGGCTGCTCCCTGATCATGCATGCTAAGGAATGTGAGAGGTCAGTTTATTTAAACTGTGCAAAGTGTGAGTTCCCAGGTCTCAACAAGGGTCTTGCAGGCCCTGTATGTGGCTCCAGGCAGACCTGGGGGTACTGTGGGGCCACAGGACACTGCCAGGGAGAGAGCATCAGTATCTCTGCCACCTCTAAAGTATGAAGGATGCTTGGTCTGTCCTTCCTCCTGGCTGAGCCCAAGCTTCTCTGGGCTAGGCTGAATGGCCTAAGCACAGCTATGCCCAGGAGGGAGGTGGCAGGGAAGGGAACTGCTGCCCAGGACCCTGTACCTGCCTGTGCCTCAGCCTGCATCTGCTGCTAGACGGGCTCACCATTCACTGGCCACCTGAGCCCAGCACCAGGCAGACAAACAGGAGCAACCAAAGGCTTCCTTTCTCCAAAGTCTTCTGAACCCAGGATCTAAACTTCCAAGTTCTGGGGCATCATTGCCATGGAAGAAGCTAAGAGGTCTGGATGAGGGCTTCTTTGTGGTCAGGAGGGCTGAGCCACAGCATGCACATCTGTCGCACTTAGAACAAAACCCACCCAACCTGTGCAGGGTCTGGGCCCACCTCTCACTCTGCCTAGAATATGCCAGATCATTCTGGCCTTGGGCACAGAGTGGGCTTCTTGGGGACTGGTAGGGTGGGGGGCTGATTTCTGTGGCCATGGGGGATCAGCAGTATAGTGAGCAGGGCCAGCCTTTCTCCAGGGCTGTATTTGGGCCGGTGCTACAATGGGGAGCTCCTTGGGATGGCCTGCACAGGTGATGCTGAATGTGCTCATGTCTGGCAGAGGACACAGACCATACCCCAACTGCTTCCCACACCACCACCCCAGGCCATGTGATAACCCTGGAAGCTACAGAAAGCCGGGCCTCCATCACTGAGCCTTGGTGGGGACAAGGCAAGAGGCAGCATAGGTCTCAAGGAGCTGATGCTGCTCCTACCCTGTGCCTCAGAATCCCTGCCAGACACTGGGTGCCACTGGCTATGGTGAAGTCTCAGCAAGTCAGTGCACACAGTGGGTGGGTGGGGGTTCTGCCACCCCATTTGCCTGTTTGCTTTCACTGGGGAAGGCGGCTGGAGGGGGCACAGCAACAGGTAGTGGTGCAAAGGCCTCTGGTAGGGGACCAGGTACACAGCCTGCTCCCTGCCAGGTGGAGCCATGGTTGCTTGTTCTGTCCCTGTGGCCTGGGCCATGTGCTAAGAGGTCTATGCCCCAGGCCGACTTGAGAGGGAGGCTGAGGCCTGGGGCCAGGTCTGGTGGAGGAACCTGCTGCAGCACAGCCCCCTTCCAACTGCATAGGGATCTCTCCTGTGGACCCTCATCCCTCTAGCTTAGGCTAGCACAGCCCAAGGTGACCAGTTGGGACCAGTCCTGGGCATCAAGGGGTGTGTATGTGTGGACAGTAGGGTAGGCAGTTAGTTGCTTCCTGGGCCAAGGGCCTCCAAAGGACATCCTTCATGTGGGCAGTAGTTTTGCTTCTTCTCTAGAAGGTGGGGTGTGGCATAGAGCCCCAGGCAGCCCTGTAGACTCCAGAACCCTCCTTCCCCACTCCCCTATCTCAGAGCAGCCCTTGGCTGTGCCGAGTATTTTCCGAAAATTGGTTTTAAATTAAAGGAGGTGCTGAGGGGATGTGTGGGCTCAGCACTTTCCCAGGTGCCATAATCTAATTTCATTAATGAGATCAGGACGGATGATCCCTCCTGTCGAAATGCTACTCCCGTCAAAGTCCCAGTGGGCAGCTGTCTGTGGCTGGCTGGGGGGAGCCACTGGGCAGAGGCTGGATGCAGCGTAGGTGCTACACAGTGCCCTGGGAGAGGCTGGCATGTCCTGACACTATCCGTGAGGGAGGGACGCTGTGTGGGGATGCTATGGGGACACTGGCTGATGCAACCCTGGCACCTGCAATCCCACACACCTCAGGCCTGGACACCACTGGCCCACCTTCCCTGGGACCATCCAGGCCACAGGGTTCCATGACAGCCTGGGGCATCTCAAACCTCAAGCCCACCCCCACCCTTGGCTATGAAGCTCCATGGCTCAGCAAGCTCCTGCCCCAGGGGTCTCCCATGTGACCAGACACAGGCCATGACAAACACCCCTTAAAGCACCGCATAGACCTCTGCACACTGAGTGCCGTTCCAGAGCCAAGTCAGCATCCAGCTGCTACCTGAGCAAAGTGTCCTCACATGGCAGTCTGCCTAGGCCTTTGCACAGCCTTTCCACAGAGGTGCGTTCTCCCTGCCCTACCCACTGTCCTATCACATCCAGTAAAGCTCAGTGGTTCCTCGCCAGGATTGCGCCAGCCTGCAGGTCCCTTGCCTCCTAGGCCATATCAGTTCATAACATTTCCTCCCCAGCAGCCAGTGCTATGGCTGCCCCATTACCCACTGCATCTATGCTGAGGGCTCTGGCAGCCCCTTCTCTGCCCACAGCACACGCAAGGCCTGGCAGATGACCAGAGAGGAGGACCCTGTCCCCCAAGAGCCTATGTCCAGCCCTGGCCTCAGACCTGCAGTATGATGGGGTCCAGGAGAGCTCAGACAGGCTCTGGGACCAGAAGGAAGGCCCTGGTGGAGGCCTGCCATGGTGTTTCTGAGAGAAAGTGGCTCCCAGTGTCTACTCCTGAGCTAAACCAAGCTGCACAAATGCTGGATTGGTGGGGGCTTTCTCACTGCTGCCTTTAGCACAAGTCTCTGCTTGCTGGTTATGTTCCCAGCCCCAGCCAGGAAGCCCCTGCTCCTGCAGCTACTTGGCAAAGCGCCTAGGTTGGGCTCTACACCCATGTTCCCCCTCAGGGCAGACATGACCAGTCTCTGGGGCTGGGTGTGCCCGGCTGTGTGGCGGCTCTGCCAGGACCACTCCCTGCCCGGGCACTTCTGCCCACTGGGGCCTGCGTTCTGTAGTGAGAGGGGACCTGTCAGACTGCAGCACTGGTGCTGCCACACCTGTGGAGGCCACAAGCCCTGGGGTCTAGGGCCTGTCTCAGCCTACATTTGGGAAGAGAGGAGAGAGCTGGGCTTACCTTATCATCCAAGCCACTCTCGCTGTCACACTGTGGGAACAAAGAAGAGAGCAATAAGTCAGGGACTGTACTGCAGTTAGTGGCCCAGGCTGCAAGGGCTATACTGGCTGGACACAGATCAAAGTACTCAGGTAGGATGGAAAAAAGGAGCACCACCAGGCTGATAGGCTTCCAGGGTGCACAGCACCACATGCCCTCAGGACTTGGCCCTACAGCCCCAAAAGAGGCCTCCCCAGCCAGTGACTATGAGGTAGCCTTGTCCCAACATGCAGGGAACCTCATGCCACACCCAAGTGTTTTTGAGCCTAAAGGGAGGAGATCGAAGGAGGCTTGGGAGATACGACCACACATCTCAGTTCCTTGTGAATAGGGGCCAGGGACCCAGGGTCAGGACCACCTGTAGCCTAGGAGGGGCTGTGCAGAGGGAAGGGACCCCACTTCAGGGTACACCACGCTCAGGGTTGGAAACTCAAAAGGTGTCCTCGGCCCCATTTATCAGCTCAGCTGGTTAACACACGATTATGATAATTGAGAAAACAAAGCTTTGTTTCTCATTTTTAGTAAGCAGAGCTTTACAAAGAACATGCTGTTCTAGAAACCATAGTAATTTCCTCCTAAAAGAATAAATAGGAAAAAAATCCCTTCCTAGCAACTGCAATTATGATGCGTTCATGTCAAATGAATTATATTGCTGAAAATAAATCTTCCAGGACGCACAAGAGGGTGATCTGGCTCCAGTCAGACATGTGTGCTGCTGGTTTTATATGTTGTACTCTACTTGATTAATATAGGTAATCAAATTATACTGCCTTCCACCGTGCCCCCAAATTGAAGGCTATAATGTTTTCAATGACAAAGTTCATAGAGTTGTATAAAAATGTGCTTCACCAGACACTCACTGCATCCAGGAAGCACCACCTCCAGCCAGTGACAAGTGACAAAGGCAGGCTTGAAGTGACAAGAGGCATGTACCTCCTGGGGAGAGGGGGAGCCTGGAGGGTTGGGACTGGAACAAGGGAGGGTCCTGTCCAAGGCTAACAGGCTTTGCAGCCTGAAGCAGCCATCTCCTTGTAGTTAGTCCCTCCAAGCTCAGTCCACTCAATGAAGTGGGCAGGGCTGAGTGTTCAGTGAAGACTGAGAAGGAAGCAAAGGTGGTAAAAACAGCCAGGGCAGAGCCAAGGTCATGGCCTGTGGGATGTGTCAGATGCCTTCTGGTAGCCAGGGCAGCTGGGACCCCAAGTCAGACCTCTGCCCATGTAATCAGTGCTGCAGAGCCCTTATGTAGGAAACTACAACTCCCATGGATTGGAGGTTGAGGACCACCTGGGACCACCCATTGAGCTGGCTTCTGTTCTTGTCCTTGGAAGGCTGTAGCCAGCATCTCCCAGGGCCCAGGATGGGTTATAAATCTTTCCACGGCTTTCAGGTCCACCAGACCCACAAGAGTGTAATGTGTCCAACACCAAGGAGGGAGTGAGGGATTCTTCCCAGCCAGTGCACTGAGGATGAGGCACAGACCCCATAATTAACCAAACAGCACGGCATTGTCAGCGAGGCAGGCAGGGTCATAAATGAATCCATGTTATTAAGTACTATTGAATTAATGTTTAACTGCAATAGAGTTGGAATTGAATGAGATAATTAATCATGGCAAGGAAGGAAAGCGCCATATTTGCCCGTGGGAGCTGCCAGACTGAGGCGACCTTCAAGGGCGCATCACCCTGAAGTGGGGCAGAGGCAAGGTAGGATACCTTGTAGCAGAAGACAGACCCCAGGGTATGGCTGGGAGGTCAAGAAACAGGCCCTAGAGCAGATGCCTGCTCTGATGCTGCACTGCCCCCCATTCTGTGCAGCTTTAGGCAAGTCCCTTGACCTCTCTGTGTCTCAGTTTAAGCTTCTATAAAGCAGGGACAAAAACCCATGTACATGGTAACTTACATGGCTTACATGCGTGAATACGTGTAAAACACCAAGATAGTGCCAGATACAGTTAGTACAATAGTACGATATATACGTGTGACGGTATCATCACCATCACCGCCACCATATACTTATTATCACCATAATCAACACCATGCAGATCACCATCATCACTATCCTCCTCGTCTACACTATCACCACCATTATCCTCATCATCATCCTTCTCCTCCTCGTCACCTCACCATCTTCCTGCTCTTTCTCATCACTACTATCACTTTCCTCATCACCATCATCCTCACAACCATCACTACTGTCCTCATCACCATCACTGCCTTCATCATTACTCATCATCACTATCATTATTATGGTCTCTGAAAAGCCAAGAACAAGGGCATTCCCTCTTCTCCGAAGTATTTGGACTTCCTGTCTGGGAATTTTAGGGCCCTAGAAGTGCCCATTCTTTTTTTTGAGGCAGCATCTTACTTTGTCGCCCTCAGTAGAGTGCTGTGGCATCATACCTCACAGCAACCTCAAAGTCTTGGGCTCAAGTGATTCTCTTGCCTCAGCCTCCCAAGTAACTGGGACTATAGAGTACCCACCTCAATGCCTGGCTATTTTTAGAGACACAGTCTCACTCTTTCTCAGGCTGGTCTCAAATCTGCGAGCTTAGACAACCCACGTGCCTCAGCCTCCCAGAATGCTAAGATTATAGATGTGAGCCACTGCACCCAGCCTCTAGAAAAATTATTATTATTTTTTTTTGGAGAGAGTTTCACTATGTTGCCCTTGGTAAAGTGCTGTGGTGTCACAGCTCACAGCAACCTCAAACTCTTGGGCTTAAGCGATTCTCTTGCCTCAGCCCTCCAAGTAGGTGCCCTCCACAACGCCTGGCTATTTTTTGTTGCAGTTGTTTAGCTGGCCAGGGCCAGATTCGAACCCACCACCCTTGGTGTATGTCGCTGGCGCTGTAACCACTGTGCTTTGGGCTCTGAGGCAGAAGTGCCCATTCTTGTCCATGACCTTGATAGCTAAGGCCAGAAAGGTGAGCCCTCCTTCAGCCCCATTGTGGCTGAGGCATCAGGTCTTCCCACCCTATTTGCCCTGAGCTCCCATTCCACCTAGCACTACTACCTCCCTGTGCTGTATCCTGATGGCCTCGAAGCCCCTCTAGCCTGGCCTCACCATCCACAGCAGTCCTGGAGACCACCTATCCAGCACTTTTCTCCCCACCAATCTCCTCAGTCAGACCAGGTCACAGTCCAGAGTACATGCCAGCACTATTTGAGGGCCTTAAGCCTCTGAGGCTCAGAACACCACACCATTTAAACTGAGATGCCTGGTGGGAGGGGGTGCCAGGGAGGTGCCAGGAGACTCTAATGAGTGGCAGGGAAAGTGGGCACTGACCTAAAACTGGGCTTGGTCCCTCCCTCCTGCCCAGGGGCTCTCTCCTAGAGGCACCTGCCAGGCTAAAAGTCACTCAGCAGTAGGAGCTAGAGGACGGTGTGAGCCCAGGACTCCTCACCACAAACCTGACAGCTCAGCTGTTGCAGCCCTGTGTGGCTCTATCTGTCCAAAAGCTACTCTACTACATGAGCAGGGTGTGAAAGCTTAGTGGGATCAGGATAAAATCTACTCTCAGTTCCTTCCTTTGTGGCACAGTGGGTTCCTGGCCACCCCAAGGGTCACTGCATGTCACCATGTTCACAGATGTGGTGGTACACTGGGGACACCCAGTAGCTCCAACTCAACCAATGTCCTTTCTCGGACCCTTATCTATAGGTAGGCAACAGACTAAAAAACCACATGCTGGCTAGATGCCCTGCAGCACAGTGGTTATGGTGCCAGCCACATACACCAAGGGTGGGAGGTTCGAATCCAGCCCTGGCTGGCTAAACAACAATGATAACTGCAAAAAAAAAAAAATAAATAGCTGGGTGTTGTGGAGGGCGCCTATAGTCCCAGCTACTTGGGAGGCTGAGGCAGGAGAATCGATTAAGCCCAACAGTTTGAGGTTTCTGTGAGCTGTGACACAACAGCACTCTACTGAGGGCAACATAGTAAGACTCTGTCTCAAAACAAACAAACAAAACACAGGCTGGACAGGGCTACAAATGGGCTTAGTTTGGTCTAATTTATTATTTTTAAACATTTGCTGCAAACATTTAAAAATCTGGAGATTTCGCATGGACACTCAATGCTGCCTCCTATTGATAATCCCGATGTAATAGCGCTCATGTTCTTGCTGCCTCCCCAGCTGCCCTGGGGCCTGGTCACTCACAGCCAGAACAGACCACCCAGCACTGACCAGTGCACCTGGAGCCCAATCTGGTCTTCCACATAACAGTGAGACCCTGGGCAGGTTACTGTGTCCCTCTGAGCCTCAGTTTCCTCAGCAGAGACAGCAGAGTTTTCATATTAAGAGAGTCTCAGGGTCAATGAGTTAGCATGTGCAGAACGCCCAGGTGGCAGTCGTGTGCCATGATGTGAGCTGCCATCAGATCTCCTTGGCTCCAACTCTCACCATCCTTATCACTGCCAGGACCAGCAACTCTGACCTACAGCAGCACCATTGCTCAGCTGCAGCCACTCCTGTGCCCTGGTAGACTTGACTACATGATGGCACACACCTGGACTCTCTCCAGCCCTTCCAGAGAGCTGGGCAACTGTGGGTTGGGGGCCACCTGTCACCCCCACAAACTGGAGACACAAACTGGCACAATTATTAAGCAGTTAAGCAGCCACTGAAACTGCCATTCTCTTCTCAGTGTGAATGTTAATTACCGTTTCACAGTGGTACTCAGAGGGAACTGCTGTTTCCCATTGCTCAAACAAGGTATGAAAAATTCACAAGCAGGAGCAGGGGAGAGGTTGCTGTTTCCACCTGCCTGAAGTGAAGCCCCCTGGCCCAGAGCCCACTGGGCAGGGTGCGGAGGCAGAGGGGCCAAAGGGCTATCCTGGGGAGGGTCTGTGTCCCCTTCAGGATGGGCCTGGGCCCAGGGCAGGTTCTGCCCCGCTGCAGTGCAAGAGCTGCACAATTGCACTTGAAGGCTCAGCTTGCAGAGCTGGAAGGGAAGGGAGGCTTGATTCCCTCCTCGACAACACTGCCACCT